GGGTTGTCTGTTGAATATGGAACTAATGAAGATTTAAGTATAAAATTGCAGTATCTTTCTGCACTTGCATTTTTGCCTTTGGCAGAAATTCTATCAGCATTTGACCATATTAAGGCTATTTTGCATCCTAGTACAAACAGTATTGTTAAGTACTTTGAAGAAACTTATGTTTATAGAAGAGTATTACGACAACTTCAAAATGGATCAGTACTCCATTCTACACTATTATTCCTACCTGTATTATGGTCTGTTCATAAGCTTGTTGAAGCAGGTTATCCTAAAACCCAAAACAATAGAGGCATGGCACAATAGATGGAATCCTATTGTAGAAAAAGCGCATATTGGCATATATACTATCATTGAAGAAATGCACAAGGAGCAAAATAAAACTGAATTGCAAATTGAAAGTTTACTTCATGGAGGATCTGGACCCTCCCAATCTAAACGTAGTATTGATAATGAAAAGTGAATTTTAACAGTTTTTAATAACTGTAACAATTATTCTGTTATAGAGTTTTTGTGAGGAATCGCTTATAATATTTTGTTATAAATAATTTTTTATTTTTTTATTTTACTTTTTTTTTAGTTATTATAATTATTATGCTTTTATTTGCTCACAAAGGTTGGATAGATAGATAATGTGATAGGTAATTTAGATAGAGTACTAGTTCTAAAGACAAATATTTTTAAATTTTTATTTTTTTTTCATTGATATCTTTATATTCAATAAATATTTTCATATTTAAGTTAATATATAAAATTTCAGCAATTTATATTATTGCCTTTACAATATTTGCAGCAATATAAAAGTAATGACTTCAAAAACTAGTAAAAATAATTATACAAAAGGCGAGAAAATATATATACTCAATTATGAGGTATTAAGTTATTATTCATTGATAAAATCTTTAAAGATATTATTTATTAGAGATTTATGTATCTTGAAATAAATAACTCTTTATTAGAGCATAGCTTAGATAATACTTATATCGAATTATTTAATTAATGAATTAAAAATATCGATATAATATTTTGGCTTGCATATCTTGCTTTACACAATAGTATAACATGATTAATTTGCTACTAAAAGTAGTGTTTTTCAGCATAGATCGACAAAATATAATTTTCTTACAAATTCCAAAAGAGGTATAATCTCTTTTGTCATTTTTATATTACTAGAGTAAGAAGTACAGTATTTATTTATAATTATTTATATTGTTCACAATTGTTTAAAAAACTGGTAAAAGATTATTTAGATAATTCAGATAAAATTGTCCTAATTTAAGCCTTGGTACGTACCACAAGTGTTTATAATAGTTGTACCAAACCAGAAACAGAAAAGTATAAATGTTAAATATAATGATAAATACACTATAATACTTAAATATATGTATATAGGTTTATTATATAACATATTAGCTATATACTATAACTTGAACAAGATTTTAGATATTTAGAGATAAGTATTTATGTTCATGATTTTAATTCTACTGATAAATCATTAGCATTAAAGTGTATCAGTTTAATCACAAACATAGTGCAAGCTATATAGTGATGATTACTAATTAATTTTTTTTATGATTTACTATATCATGCTAGTTTTTATTTCTCAAGAATTATTCAATATTTTTGATTTTGTAAATTGTATCTACAAAGTGACAATGTTAAATTTTATATACATTAATAATAATAAATTTAGGGAACTGCTATTCGCACCATAGGTTTTTGCTATTCGCACCATGAATATGCGTTATATCGATCATTTTGATTATATCACATAATTACGGTCCCGTGCAAGTGTAGTTAGCCAATAGGCTATTATCACGTTGAAATAGAATCTTATCGTTATTTAAAGTGACAAATAAGTTAAGTAAAATTATTTCTTAGAGTTTTTTTTTTTTTATTCACAATGAATTTATTTAGAGGTTTTTTATTTTATGTGCTTTGATCTTTCTCTGAAAGTGACAATTCGTTAAAAGGAATATTTTAAGTTCCAACTTTACATATTAGATCGCATTTGAAAGTATAACTTTAATCACATATATTTCCTTCATTAAATGCTTATGCTTATAATCTAAAGTTAACGATATTTTATTTTGCAGCGTATACGAATACATGTAATGTGTATTACAGTATTTCTTTATATTGTTACTATAAATAAGTGTACTAAAATTTTTTTTTAAAAGTTTGTCTTTTAGAACCATATCGCATAGATCGAAACAGCCGTGATATATGAAGTAAATCAGTATATGAGGGGTTATAGTGCCTTAAGATATGTGTTTGCATTTTTATATTTTTACTAAATAAAATCTATACCTAATTCTGTTCATTGTTATTAGGACACGTTCTACTATTGTGCCCAGTTCTATGACATAACCTGCATTTTCTTCTTCTTCCCGGTTCAGTCAACTCAAAAGCAGATGGGTCTCTTCGGATAGATGATTGTGCATTTCTTGCACCAACTGGGCGTCTCCTTGTATGTTGTTCCTGTGGGTCTTGCACGGCAATAGCAGTTTCTTGGAACAAGCTTGACATTTCGTCCAAAGCTGTTGTTTGTTGGTGAGCTGGCCAAGAGTTAAATTGTTGACTATATTCTTGCCACCTTTGTTGCATAGGATTTTCTACTCCAGTTAGTATTGGTAGAAACAATTGGTGTTTTTGAAGCCACCAATGTTTGTGAAAATCATTAAGTTGTAAGTATTGATTATTGTTAAGATGCTCTTGAATTATATGTGAGCAAGGAAGACCCATCGATGATGTGAATATACCGGTACAGGGTTGCAGTGAATTTTCTGATGTCACACTGGTTACCTTCAAGAACTGTTCATGCACTTTTTTTAGTGAAAATACAGAAACTTTAGTAACAACCTGTGAATAAAAGGGTTGGTTTTGGGCATGAGGAGTTCGAATCAACTCTTGAGAAATTTGGGTTTTGATTTCTTGGTGTTGATTCTCCAACGCCAAGACAATTCTTTCATGAACTGCATGAAGGTCTCTGGTTGATACTTGAAGATACTTTTTCAACATTGCATGAGATCCTTCTACCCGTGATGTTGTCACATTGCCCAAATGCA